TATCGTTATTAAATATCAACCAATCATTCGAATAAACAATGATGGTAGGCCACATTGTCTAATATCGAGATTGTTAATTCTCACGTGGATTTGCAATTATCAAGATACATATCAATACCGAAACAGCAATATAAATACATAGCAAAATCCTCTAACGAAGAAATTCGTTCACTTCATTCCCAAGTTCCGAATTTATGGTCATTAACGTGTAGTGGCTACATAACTTTTTCTTGTATTTCTCTTTTTCCGTTAAAATTTTATATTCCAGTGAACGTTTCCGTATTACGAATAATTCCTTTCCTTTCATACTGTAAGGTCAAATTCATATCCTCCTAACTTTATTCCTAAATATTCTCTCCAGTTAAAAAAATCAATGCGGATAAAACTCGCTTTTGAAGAAAGCCTCGGCAGAACACGCTGCTGGTATCCGATTAGTGAATATCAAAAAAGAAATAGTATAAGGGACTTGATCAAAACTATTTCAAAGGAATTTAAATTGTCCTATAAGGATGGAATCGAATTAGAATTGGATGGGTTTACACTTTTGCCTAGAGCTGATGTTGAGCTAACGATACGGGATGGTGACATGATCAGGTATCTATATTATCAGTTGTAAAAATATAATCTATCGGATTTGAAATATTACGATGACTAATTAATTATATTTGGATCGTGTTTTAGAGTAAAGCCATATGTCCCAGGTACCTGTATGCTTAAAATGAATTTACTTTATTTCAAATTTATACTTATTTCGACATATTAACAAAAAAAGTAGTTTCTAAAGGTTCAAAGAAAAGACCATTTAAATCGGATTCGAGTAGCAGGAAGGCTAGGTTGAATAAACGCGTAACGTGGTCCGCCACCAGGGATAATATTAATAGTCTGAGTGAAGATGATTCTTCCTCGGAGTCTAATGATTCGTCATCGGAGAAAATTACAAAGAAATCGAAGACATATCATGAAAATGGATTGGTCGATGCCGTTGAACCAAAAAAGCAAAAAATTCGTAATCGGATCGATTCTTCGCCGGACGAGGAAGAAGATAGTAGCTCTAGTTCTAGTGAATCTTCCAATGAAGAGAGCGAAAAAGATTATTTGGTTGTTGACGATAGTGACAGTTCCAAATCTTCCGCTGCTCCTGATGAGAATGCGAAAGAAGATGGCCTCAATAATAATAACGATAGAAATGAAGATCCTGACGCGGGAAAAAAATTACCAAAGCAAGTGGTCTTATAATTTCTTTGGTGCATTCAAAAGTTGCAAGACTTTCAATTTAACATTGGCCGTCATTTAAGTTCTGTGAATAATTACAGTGTTTCTCAAAAAAAAGACTTCAAGCCAAAATGCCAATGACCAATTGGAGAAAGAAACTACACCCATGTCACCCCTAAATCATAATAACGAGCAGCAAAGAAATGAATTAAATAAAAAGGTTAATAAAAGAACTAAGGCAAGGAATCGCAGAAAAAGAGCTTTAAAAAATCGATACAAAAAATTCAGTAAAGTTGCGTTTTCTTATAGAGAAAATAATAAACATTCAAATATTGATGAATTTTTAATATCCTCGATAAATAAAAATCAGGATAACGTTCCGTCCGAATCACAGCCTAAATCCAAGGCTACAGATGAAACGGAAGCAGAGGCAGCACAAAATATAATAACTCCAACTATATCGAGTGATAGCGTCTCACACGCCACACGAAAAACCCCCGAGCCAATAAAAATGAAACCTCCGATGTCCCTTTCATCAACTTCTAATAAAAGGAAAGGATACTATCAAGGAATGCGTAATATAAAACCTACACATGTTAGATTTGAAGATGATGATAAGGGAGTCGATGCATTAAAGGAATGTTCTAACTCAAATGTGTATCCTCAAGTGGTTGTTAATAATTTAACTGTCGAAACAGCGGAACAAGCTCATGATGCGGAAGTTTCTATAACTAATGTTGGCGATACTAATGAACCGATGCTTGAAGATCAACTTCCTTCGCCTCGTGCTATCATTACAAGGGTAGACATAATTCGTCCACAAAATGGCCTTAATAATCGTCAATGGTATAGTAATAATTTACGAACAAAATCAAGAAAGACAAGAAAAAACAAACAAAGGAATAATGTTTATTATTTGGACGACACACACATTAATGATCAGGATGGTGAACCGATGCAGATTGACGTAAATTCTTCTACAACCTCAGACAAAAAAGTAATAACAAATGATATCAATTGTGGACCGAATTATGATCAAATGGAAGATTATAAGGGTCGACCTAATGTTAATGACGTCATTGCTTATAGGGTATGAATTAGGTTATTGTCATTAGATATTTTCAATATGTTGCAATATACTAATTGGTTTGTCCATATGATCAAGGTTGTTGAATTGTCATCAACTACTTGGACACCTGGGTTTTCAGAATTTAGAGTGAGTTAGTGTCTTTATATATATGCATATATTTTTGTTTTACGCGTAAATTGTGTTATTAATTTAAATATTACGATGATTTATAGGAGGCAAAGATTATAGATTTCGATCCTATTTCACATCAAGTAATTCTTAAACATCAAAACTTAAATCAACATCGTAAAGAAGAAACAAGCTCTGATCAAACGAATTCATCTCGTAATAAATTCCAAATTATAGATGTAGATGGTGAATTCACGTTCGAAGGGCATGAATCAATACCAGAAATACTTAACATTAATTGGAATGACTTGTGTTCGGTCAAGAAGGTTGTAGTATAATAACATATTGTCAGTTTTAATAGATATTTTAATGGATACATTATTTAGTTTTGAATTGGTAAAATATATATGTTTTAATAAAGCGTGTCAAATCGACGTTTATCCGTGTCTGGTTTTGCCACGCGACATTAACCAATCACACCACAATAACGATATATATACTATATAATATATATGAAAAATTTTGTTGATTCACGTGAAGAATTTATAGTATGAATAAAGTTATCCTGATAATTATCATACGGATCCTACTAAATCAAACTAATAGGCCATTTAGAAGTATAAAACACCATACCTTCCTCTCTATAAATACTACCTTCCCAATACCAAATTTTTGTATATTCTAGTAATAGCTCGTTGAATTTTTTCGTAGAGAATTTATCATCATCTAAACAAAAATCGACTAAATAAGGTTTAATAAAATCTTCTCTCCATTCAGATTTTACTGAAAACAATTGCTTAAATCTCTGTTTTGGATTTGATGATAGTTTAGAGACTGGAAAATATCGAATTAGTTTATTTTTTTTGGT